CGATTTGTTTATTAAAATCTTCTGTGCCAGTGTAGGTCCCTAACGTGACTAGATATCCTCCGTCAACGCCCTCTTCCCGCATGCTCCTCTCGCGTTCCTTTTCCCTCAACTCGCGCTCTTTGGCAAGCTTCCTAGCTTCGCGCTCGGCCTTGGTTTCGCGGCGCGTGTATCCTTCGGGCAAGTCTCTGTTGCTGGAGCCGGGGCCGATGCCTAGAAAAGAGAGGTCGGGTCCGCTGCCGCGACCGGAGCGAGACGAATAGATGCGATCGCCAGAGGCGTGAGCAGAGTGAGAGGCGGAGCCATGAGGAGCTTCGCCAGCTCTGGGGTGGCCCGGGTGGCCAGCAGAGGACGTGGGACGGCCCTCTCTGCTCGAGTTGTTGCCCATGGCGAGCTGTAGCTGGACAGGAGCTACAAAGTTGGAGTGGTTGGGAAGGAGTCAAGTTTCAACAGGTAAACATTCGATAGCTCGTGTAAAGCGGGGGACCCAGGTCGATGGCTCGAGTGTCACAAGGACTGCGAGAAGGTGGTTTGCTCATCCGCGGCGCATCGTGAGCAACCTCGAGCGAGATAAGCGGGAAGATTGACGGGGCAGCGTGCGGTGGGTTGGCGAAAGGTTGGTAGGTTGGTAGGTTGTAGTTACGGTGAGGTTGGCGGGGAGGCAGGTGGGTGGAGGATGAGTGAGGCTTGTTGTGGACGGGCCGAGGACTGAACCGCGAGTGGATGGATGGATGGATGGATGCGGGAGCGGGTGCGCTGGCTCCAACTGTGCTGCGATGCGACGGCGACTGCGAGCGCGGATGCTGTGCCTCGTTGTTTCTGTTGGTTTGGATGCTCGGAATTCGCATGGAAAAAAGGTCTGAAAGCGTCTTGTGTCTGTCTTGTGCAATCGACGACAGAAGGCGCGCTGTGCCGGGTCCGGCCTTGTTCCCGTGCTTGTGCCTTGATTATTTCGTCTCCCGTCTGTCCCCAGTCGCAGCGCAACGCCGCCCTACAATCAAATCATCATTCAATCATCATCCCGGCTTGCACTTTGTCGTCCTCCTTTACGTCAGTCCGGGTGGCCTTGAACCTCTCGCCCACTCAGCGTCCAAAAGCTCTCCGCTGCTGCCGTTGCGTCACTGAAGCCCTCGTGATCACCTCTCACGCGACTGGAGCTGCATAGCTGCACCTTTTTACAAAACAAAAATCTTTGTTTGACTCGAGTCCCATCCGCGAATTCCATGCCGAAACTCCAGTTTCTCTTCCAACGCCAACACCATGTCTGCAATGTATCTATCATGTACACATCAAGCCGTTACCGCAGCGGCAAGTCCTTCATGTCTGCTGCCTCTGGCTCCGGGCTTGCCGCCGGTGTTGGCCACGGGGCCTCTGCCTCCTTTTCCATTGTCGCCTTTTTTGCTCGCCTTTGATTGACGAAGCCCGGCGACGGCGACTCCCAAGCGTAATCGACAAAAGGACCAAGACACTCCTGCACACCTTCGGCCAAAATCTGGACGGCGTGCTTCCTGTTCAAACTCCACTCGTGTGCGCGCCGCCAGCGACCAGCGCGGTCGGCAATTCCCTGGCCGTCTTCCAACCCGTCGAGGATACTCCTCCAGACCATCATTGTCTTTTCCAGCTCGGAAGCTTTGCTGACGCCAATCACACTAACTCCCAGCTTCTTGCCGCCAACCTGCTCAATGGTCTCCCTGGTCAACGGCACGCCGGATGCAGGATCTCCGAGGGATCCTACAGGCGCACCCGTGTGCAGCCAAGTCTCGAGCGCAAATCGAATGGCGAGAACCTCGAGCTTCTCTCCATACTTGTCGCAAAAGTCCGAGGCATCGCGCACGGCGGCGCGCAACTCCCTGCTTGCTGGGTGGAAATCGCCCATGGAGCCAACTGGTACACCTTCCCTCCTCAGGAGACCCATTCCTAGAGGACTAGCATTCGGAACGACGTCGACTCCCGCTTCCACGAGACGCTCGATTCCGCGGGTTGCCAGTGTCGTATTTTGCAGAGTAAAGTTGGCATAATTTTGGACAATGTCCAATGGCTCGCCAGTCTCGCTCAGGACTCTCTCCGCGATCCGGCACATCGTGTCGACAGGATAGCCGGAGATGCCCACGTATTTGACAGTTCCCGTCTCGTCGCGAATCCGGCGCAATTCGCGAATCGCTTCCAACACTTCATCCTCGCTCACGAATTCAACATCATGGCAGTATACAGCATCCAAGTACGGTGTCTTCAGCCGCTCGAGGCTTCGTGCGACCGACGCGCGCACCCATTCCGGACTGTAGTCGAACTCGTCCGAGGCGATGCGACCAACCTTGGTGAGAAGGAAGTATTCCTCGCGCGGAAATGACGCACGCACAAAAGGTGTCGCGAGAGCAGCGCCCAGCAGGGATTCGGAAGGACCGTAGTATGGCGAAGTGTCGAATGCGCGGATTCCAAGCTCGAGAGCGGACTGGACAAGACCTACGGTGTCGAGCGCGTAGGGATCTTTGTTATACTGGTGGTTGAAGGTTGCGGTGCCGAATATGAGTGGAGGCAAACTGGCCGACAAGGGCGTCTTTGCTTTTGCTGCTGGGGACATTTTTTAACGTTTGATGCCGAGTAAGGCGTCCGCAGGCGCGAGGGCAGGCGTGGGCCAATGGGCGAGTGAGGCTGCAGAGGTAGGTTGGCGGCTGAAGTCTATGGCCGCGACTCGAGGCAGGACTGATGAGGCTCTCGCGCGGAAAAGGTAAAAGCAAAGAAGGTTGAAGGTGGTGAGGGTGCGGACGCGGAGCGCGTTCTGAGAGGCCGGGCGTTTGAAGACAGTGCCTCACGGCTGGAAGAGGGTCAACAAAATGCAGAATCTTGCAGCGAGGACGGTTTGGACGCTGCGAACGAGTTGAAACGAAGACGGACCCTGAAAAGAAGACGGCGGACGAGCTCACAAAATTGCCCGTAGTCCGCCGTCCGCCAGCCAGCGCCAACGCCAACAGCCCAGCCAGCGAGCCCAGACGTTCGGCCGATCGCGCTCTTGTCTGATCCGGAGTCGTTGACGTGATTGATTTGGTGCCTAAAGAAAAAATGTCATGGCCAGCAGAAGCCACGCTAATGCAGGAACGGAGCTGAGTCAGCCTTCCACACCAAGTTTTTTATGCCTTTTTGCGTTGGTCGCAAGTCCACCTTGGCTCCAAGTGGCCAACATAACATCAGTTCCGCTGACTCACACGCCAACAGCACCGCCGCGTTGCTGCGCCCGGCGGCACTGACTTTGCTTGGGCTGGCCGGCTGGGCCCGCTTGTCTTCCCTTCCCTCGTGCTAGGTGATTGGTAACCAACGAGCGGCACCACCGATCGCCAACCTTGATCCTATCCACCATCAAGTCCCAGGTTTGCTCAGCTCGGGAACCGAGCGAGCCATGCGAGAACCCTGATCGACACCGTCATCTATTTCCAAGCCAACAGCTTGCGGACGTGGGTTGTTCATTGGGAATTGCACGTCTCGAGTACATACAAATGCAAGTACGTCACAATGTGAAGTCTGGATGCGGCGCTGGCCCAGACTGCCATTGTTGGAGCTTGGTGCGGTATCCTTCGGAAAGGATCGGGTGCGCGCAATGCAAATCATGGTGTTGTGGGGGAAGGTGTTTGGCCATGTGCGATAGCGGGACTGCGCAGGGAAATGAAGGATATGGCGAGCAGAGCTGCGGAATTGTGGTGGTCATGAGAAAGTCTTATCGCCATGTCGGCAGCTTTTCTACATGTGGTAGTCGGTTTAGGTGTGTGTAACAACAACAACTAAGGTGGAGATCCAGAGGGTCCCGTGGTTGTTCTCTTGATTGCATCTTGTCCTGATGCTCCATTCACTTGCTTCCTCGCTGAAACTCTCTTCGATCTTGTATGTTGGCATTTTCGTGTTGTTCTCTTTCCATCGACTTCGTCGTCCCTCCGACTGCCAGATCAAATAACCACGCACGCGGTCGGTCGGTCGGTCAGCTGCAGCACATGGATACCAAACAGGGTCTATGCCAGAGCAATGTATCGCACGCAGCAGCGCAGCGCCTTGCATTGCATCGCATCAAGCCGGCCAGCGGACAGCGTGCGTGCGTCATCTTGCAGTCCGATCTATGGCGTCAGCAACCCCAACGCGTCCTGCCTCCATTTGTAATCCTCGGCCAAGAACCAAATCACGAGCTATTCGTTCGTTGAGGGTCGAATGTGATGCAGTCGGCGACTTGGTGTTTCTTGAGCTTGCGGAGACACATGTCGCAGCAAAACATACAGAGCGTTTGTCACCCTCGACTAAGCTTCGCCCAGATGCCTTCCGTGCTTGGGAGAAGCTTGGTAGTTTCGAGCAGGCTCTGAGCCAGCCAAGCCGGGGAAGTGGATGAGTGTGTAGGGAAGGGCATGGCGGCTGGCTGAGTGGAGCCATCCGATGTTTCGCGTCTCGTTTCGGCGCGCCTGCATAGCTGTCTTGATGATGCATTCCTTGCTGGGATGGGTGCAATAGTAGCTGATGCTCTCTATCTCTTTAAATACCCCCTATTCCCAGGTAGAACCAACTTTTGCTTATTATGGTTGACTAAGGCAGCGGATTGGGGCAGGAGGAGTGGCAGTTGTGAAGCGTGCAATGCGGCTTCAGTGACGCGAGCGAGTTGTTGAGCGGACTGCTCTCACTTCAACGCGACAACACCTCACCCCCACCTTGACTGGTCTTTCACAATTCACGCCAAAATCCAAACTTTCTGACATATCGCTGGACGTGTGAGCTCCTTGGTGTAGGAGAATGTCCCCACGCTTCTGTGGTGTCTTTGACGACGGCTAGTATTGTTCTTTTCCTCGGTTCCCCCGCCAATCATTCGTCTTTCCGACCTTTTCACAATCCAAAGTCACGCTTTCGTCTTCCATCACTCTTCCTCCTTATTCATTGGAAAATTCATCCACGTCGTAGGTGTGAAAATTGTAGGAAGAAGTTGACTGGACAAGTAAGGTATTCATATACATCTTAAGATGGAGTTTTCTCATCAACAAGCGGGGTTGGTGTAGTTGGTCATCACGTCAGTCTAACAGAGCAATCTGAAGAGCACTGAAGGTCGCGAGTTCAAGTCTCGCATCCCGTATCTTTTGCATTTTTGCACCTCGCTTCTACATTTGCCGTTTACATATCTATCTTATGCGGACGACATGAAGAGTTCTCTTTTGATGTGTTGTTAAGTTAAGAAGGAAGAAATGCGAGTGACCTGAAAACAAGATTGCATCATCATCTCCTTTCTTGAAGTTGCAGTATGCACATGAGCAATACCTCTACATCTCCTTTGCATACTTCACTGGTCACGTTGAATAGCTCTCTATCACCTTCCTCACCGTTAGCCATCATGCACGATTGGCCTTGCGGGCATTACCGTTGTGGCTTTTGAAGCCGGCCGGGGGTGAGGCAAGTGGGGCGATGTGCTCGACAAGCGAGCCTGCGAGCGGGAACGGCGGGTTGACTTGAGGGAGCTCGAAGATAGTAGATTGTGGAAAGGAGAGTGCTTTCGTGATAAGAAGGCACTTGGGCCTAGAGTTGTTAGTATTGTAGTTGATGGACGGAACGAAAAACAAAGGAGGTCATCTTTGTCTTGTTGCCTATCAAACCATGTTGATAATGGACATCGAGATATCCCAGGCATTGGATGAATTGTACGACGAGGGCCATTTTCTCACTCGTTGTACAAACGACAAGGGAAGTGGAAAAAAGCTCCATACCGAGTAATGCGATCCATCGTGCTCTACATCCGAGATTGAGGAAGAAAATCTACCCTTCTTGTCCATATTTCCACAGAACGGCTGCGTCTCACAACTTCGGACTCCCCTTCTCCTTCTCCGCCCTCAATCGAGCATCCCTCTCCCGTACTGCGCTCTTCAACAACGCATACACCGTCTGCAACCGCGGCAGCTCGACGCCCCTCTGGCGGGCAATGCGAATGGGCAACCCCAAGATGACCTCCAACTCGAGCGGCTGGCCGCGCTCCCAATCGAGCAGCATGCTCGGCTTGCCGCCCTTGTTGCGCTCGGTGCTCTTCAAGATGGCGTCGGGGCCAGCCAGCTTGTCGGGGAACGGGCGGCCGAGGACGCGCGGGGCGGCGGCGTACAGCTCGGCCATGATGCCGTGCAGGTGGGCGCGCAGCTCTGCGTCCGTCACCATGTCAGCGTTGCCGCGGCCGCCGCTGAGAATCGCCGACGGGTTGAAGGCGGCGTTGATGAGCAGCTTGTGCCACCGCACCTGCTGCAGCGCCACTTCGTCGTAGAACTCGGCGTCGCGCAGCCCGCCCAGGTCGTTGAAGAGGTGCACCAGTTCGCGCACGCACGCCTCGCCGCGCTGCGATAGCTGCTGTTTCTCTTGCTGCTGGGCCGCCTTCGACTCGTCTACGCCTAGTCCGTCTGTGAATGCTCCCATGCTGATGCGCGTCCAGCGGTTCTGCCGCACCACGCCATGTCGAATTTGCTCGGCTGAAATGACCGTGACGGCAGAGACGATGGGATTGCGTGGAAACCGCGTGCGATGCGCTTCTTCGATGCCGACTCCATTTTGAATCAGCACGATGCACGCCTTGCCTGCGCCGACCACGGGCTCGATTGCCGCCGCGTCGTCTGTCACATCTGGAAGCGCCTTGGTCGTTACAATCACGTAGGACCAGCCTGACGGCGGCGTGGCGGCAGCAGCTTCGTCAATTGACGCATATACAGCATGCGGCGTAAAGTGGTAGCTGCCAAAGTTGCGCGTTTCCAGCTGGATACCGGAGCGTGAGAGAGTAGGATAATTTGAGCGCGCAACTAGGGAGACGTGAATGTTTTTCGATGGCTGGTTCCGCTGGCGTCAGACACTCGTCGAGAAATGGATAGTTTGGGCACGCACATGATGGAGTCGTGATGCGTAAAAGCAGCCTACTGCGCCTGCGCCGACGAAGAGGATGTGGACTGGCCTGCTTCACTGTCAGCTTGATCCAAAAACAGTGTCGGGTGAAGTTCGTCGTAGTCTCACTTTGCGTCGGATGCTTCTGCTGATGCCATGATGGATGTAGGGTATCAAATGCGGAGATGGCAGTTGCCGGGCGAGACCGCTGAAAAGGAGAAAGGAGACACGAAAGACAAAGTGAAGAGATGGAAATTTGACAGCTGGAGAAACCTATCGAATTTGGCGTCCCTTTGCGCTTTGAGGTGGTGAACAAATGCAGGTGACAACGAGAGAAGTCATCACGTGGAGTGACGACTTCAAGGTGACGACTGAAAGACCTCGGGAGATGGTTCGGAGATCCATCCCGCTCACGAGGCGTCAACAAGCAAAATCTACAAGCATCAAGCCACGATTTTGAAACGGTAAGGCTAACGTAAATACTGAATTTTTTCCATGCTATGCAAAATGGCGTCTAGGATATATGGCCATGCGCTCCCGCAAAATTCCACCATGCGCCGTTTCCCCATAAACCGTAAATCTGATAATACGTTATCCAAAGATTGCTCCAAACATCTACAAAAAATGCGCTTAGAGCTTGGGGGTCTGCATGCCCTGCCAGCCAGCGGCCTGGGCGACCAGCTCAGCGCAGCGCTCGCCAATGCTCAGCACCGTAAGCATGGGGTTGATAGTGACCATCTCGGGGAAGACACCAGCGTCCGCAATGCGGAGACCCTTAATGCCACGGACCTTGAGCTCGGGGTCAACGACGGCCAGAGGGTCCTTCGTAACGTCACCCATCTTGGTGGTACCAGCGGGGTGGTAGACGGTGTGGTGCACGCGACGGCCGTACTCGCTGAGCTCCTCGTCGGTCTGGATCTTGGGGCCAGGGGCAACCTCGCGCTTGATCCACGACCTGAAAGGCTCCTGCTCAGCAATCTGGCGGGCAGCCTTGAGACCGGCAACAATGGTGGCGGCGTCGTAGCCCTCGGGGTCGGTGAAGTAGCGGAAGTCAAGCGCGGGCTTAACGTTGGGGTCGGCGGAGGTCAGGAACAGACGGCCGCGGGAGCGGGGGCGGGGAATGTTGGGGGTCATGCAAAAGGCGTCGATGGGAGTGTCGTAGCCAAGACTGTGAGCCATTAGTTGGGACTCGTTGTCAGGATACGCAGATTACTTACCGGGCAGTGTTGTAAACAAAGGGAATCTGGTAGCAGTGGCACATGATGTCGCAAATATCCTTGTCGTCACCGTTGGCGTTGGGAACCTCGCGGCGGAGGAAGATGGCCGCGTCAGAGTCCATGGTGGTCTGGTCGGCGGGAACGGGCTTGTTGAGCTCCCACATGATGATACTCTCAGGGTGGTCGAGCAGGTTCTCGCCAACACCGGGAATGTCGCGAACGACGTTGATACCCAGGCTCTGGAGCTGCTCCTTGGGACCCAGACCGGAGAGCAACATCAGGCGGGGAGTGTCGACTGCGCCATTGCAGATGATGGTCTCTTGCTTGGCGCGGAGGACACGCTTGGAGCCGTCGGACAAGGTAACGTTGACGCCAGTGGCACGGTCACCCTCAATGTTGATCTTGCTGACCCAGGCATTGGTCAAGATGGTCAGGTTGGGCTTCTTCTCCTCGCCGCGGAGAATCGGGTGAATGTAAGCAACAGAGGCACTGCTGCGGCGGCCATCGTCGGGGTTGTAGGAGACAGAAAGGAAACCAACGCCCTGCTTCAGATGACCGGTACGCTTGATCTCGGCGTTGAAGTCGTGGAGAATAGGAATGTCCAGGGCCTGGGCAGAAGCAGTGATCCAGTCCTTGCAAAGCTGGTTCCTGTGACGCTCGTGGACGGGCTGCACGGTGTTGCGGAGGTTGTCCTGGCTAACGTTAGTCTATGACGTCGACATGTATACCCGGCGTGTTTACCAAAAGGCGGTTGATAGTCTTGAAGTCCCATCCTTTGCAACCCAGAGCCTGCCATCTTTGCATGTCATAGTCAAAGGTGCGGAAGGAAATCAGGGTGTTGTGGCTAGAGCATCCACCAAGGACCTTGGCGCGAGAGTGTCTGATGTGCGAGTTGCCCATGGGCTGCTCGGTGGTGCCATAGTCGTAGTCAAACTCGCCGCCGAGGAGGTTGAGCCATTCCTTGAGGAGGAGCACGCGGTCATCCTGGTAGTCCGAGGGACCAGCCTCGATGAGGAGGATCTTCTTGTTGGGCAGGTATTCGGCGAGGCGGCTAGCAACGACGCAGCCTGCGGTACCACCGCCAGCAATGACAAAGTCGTAGTCGTTGACGGTGTGGGCTGGGAGCTTGGTAGTGGTGGACATTTTGGCGGGGCAACAACGACTATCAATGGGGACAGGGAGAAGAAACGAGAGTAGTCAGGGAGACGCGTGCGGAAAGGACAAAGAATAAGAAACAAGGAAGGGCAAAAACTCTCTTGAAGAATTTTCGGGAGAAAGGACATGCAGGGCCCTCTAGGATGACCCTCGGAGACGCTTTGGCAGCATCAGTGGTGCGGCTACCCCACAGGCACGCATTCAGGCCCCGATGGCAGGGCAAAATGGCACCGGTATCAGTCGACGACAGGCGATCGTGGACGGAGGTGTCGGTGTGGCCTGGGCGGATCAAAGCCCAAGCCGCGAGGTGGGTGGTGGGTGGTGGTGGGGAGGGATCGCGGGTCGCTTTGCCTGAAAAAGGTCAATTGAGCGCGCCGCTAAACACGGTCACTGGATCCATCGCGTCCATGTAAAATCTTTTGAACGGGCATCGCGATCCCGCGCGTGCGCACACTTCACCGTTAGGTACCTCCAGTCGACCTCCCTCCGTTGACGTCTCTGCGGCCCACTTTTGCTGCGACATCCGCCGCCCTCCGCCTCCGTTTTCTTGCGACAAGACATCGTCGCTCTCCTGCCAACACCATCGATACCATCACCACCACCGCAGCCATGTCGCAAACCTACGGCACTCGCCAGCTCTACTGGGACGGCCAAGCCCAACCCGCAACCTCCGGCAAGACCTTCGAGTCCATTGACCCGTCCAACGCCAAGCCCATCGCCACCGTCCACGCCGCCTCTCACGCCGACGTCGACTCAGCCGTCGCCAGCGCGCAAGCCGCCTTTCCCGGCTGGTCCGCGACGCCTGCCGCCCAGCGCGCACGTATTCTCCAAAAGGCTGTCCAGCTGCTGCGCGAGC